ATATATAATCATATATACATTCTCATCTACAATTTGTCGATAGACTCGCACCACATCTACTTCACGAGACATGATTTTATCAGCAGTGTCGCAAAATAGATGTGATCTGTAGTTCCACGGCTCAATTATAGATGTTGGTGGCGGTAGTGTACGGCATCACGCATCATGAAAAAGACCAGCATGATTGCTCTCAGGTTCTTCTTTGGCAGAAGTGTGTGCTCTAGCCCTTAACCTGTCGTCAAATTGGGAATATAGTAGAAAACGAAAAGTTTTATACACTTTGTAACATAACTTTAATAATATAAATCATTTTAGTAATTTTTTTTTATACATATATTTGTACATAATTTTACATTACATAATATTGCATATAATATGCGTATACATTATATTTTAAGAACTATTGTTATAGAAGTTTACTCTTTTAAAATAATATCGTTTTGCCTAGTTTTTAACGTTTTCTTAGGTTTTAAAATTTATTGTAAATAAAATTTGACATAGAAATGCAATCGTATTTTAATGTATTTAGGCAATACCGCTATTATTAGCTGAATTTTATGCAGCATTTTATATATATTAATATCTTCACAATCTAATATAGTAAATAATAAATAATGAATAATTCTTACTTAAAAAAACTGAGCTTATTATTCTTGTACTACGACAAGTTGGAAAGGCACGCTTAACCATCATTAATTATAAATTAATTATAAATAATTTTAAAATTATAAAATAATTAATAGAGATGCAAACATAAACCCATAATAAATTAATAAAATAATCTAGTAATACTAATAAATCAACTAATAAATTAAAATAAGTCCGAATCAAAACAGAATGAAAAGACAGACAATCAAACAAAATCATTTATTAATTACTTTGGATTTAATTCATATTTCAAATAGTTTGTTTTTATTACGAAGAAATATTTTGTCACTCATTTTTATTATTAAATATAGATAATAATTCTAGAAAAAATCGAATAATATTAAACCTTTTACTTATAAATGACTGCTATGATATTCCATTATCTAATATTTCATTAATATTAAATTTCAATATTTTTATTTTTTCTTAATTTTCTTTTCAATAATTCTTTATAAACTCTGCATCATCTCTGCACAAACGCTGGAAAGGCTATGTTTATTTGTATTCTTTCGGGCACTTTCGTCGCGTATGCACCTACATCCTCTTTTATTCTGATCCACACGCCTGCATGCCTCGCCTGCTCGCATGCATACAGCTATATGCGCGCTCGCGTGCGTGTAAGTGTAACATAAATATACAGGACATCCCAAAATTCGCGATTCAAAATACTGTAGCAAAAATGTTTTCGAAAAATTAAAAAAAAATTTATTTGTGAATTTTTATAGTATTTCAAGCAATAACTCTTAAGATATAAAAGTTTTAAATTAGCCAATCATATACTAGTTTTAAATGAATGCTTATTCAGGAGTTGCGTAGTAATAATAATGAGCGCGCACTTCAGATCATATGTTTTTGATTATTTTACTGTATAAAATACTATAATATTTATCATAAATTAACGATGTTAATAAATAAATTATGAAAGCTTCATCAAAATTAAATCGCTAGTATTGCAAATTATAAATATATAAGGAGAACGTGGCATAGTAGACATTGCATTGATCTAGTACGCTAGAAATCCCGAGTTCGAGTCCCAGTAGGTTAAGATATATTTTCATATGCTCCTGTGTCTCCTCTCGACAGTCTCAACGGCAAACCACGAGAATATTCTTTCACAGAACTTCCTCAAAAATTTGCCGTTAAAATATCTGTCCGGTAAGCAGGAGATCCAGATTCGATTCCTGGCTGAGGTGATATTATATTTTTCGCAATTACGAATTTTCACGACTGGTTCATGGTCACGCCGTGACGCACACCCTCTCTTCTTATTTAGAAACCGTTAAAAAATAAGTCTTATATGCCTGTACATCACCTATATGCGCATCACAGGCATATGAAAATGAGATAGAAAAGGCCCTAAAAATGTGACCTATGAAAGTAGAAGAAGAAGAGAGAAGAAATATGCATTCAGATTACTACAATTCATATGAATGCAAGAACATTGGCTGTGTTTTGATATTCATTGCCAATACTGAAAATCTATAATATACGTGACATCAACTATATTTTCAGTACTAGTGAATATCAGAATGTAGCCATTAATGACTACATTCTGACTGCATGATCACATGATTACATGATCTGAAGTGTGCGCTTGCTATTGCATACGACTTATGGAGATATATATATATATATATATATATGCGG